ATATTAACAGCTTTATTGGTGTTTGCTAATTCAGAATGGTTCATAAGTATCAGAAACTACAAGGAATTTTTCCTTAAACCATCTTCAAATAAAGTGTCATTTATGAGTAAAGCCACGTCTTCTGTAATTAGCTGTGTCATGAACCAGTGAGCATAAACCGACCTGAACGAAATTTAAAACCAACTCATATAGCTTAGTGTGACTGATATGATAAATATAAAAGCAACTACAGAAGTCAGAACATAATATAAATTATACAGCCCATATGACTTATGCTGGGCATTTTCATAAAATGCTATTTAACCCTCAAAGAAAAGAATGCACAAGAAAGCTACTTTACAATTGAAATAAATAGAAAATAACACACAAGCAGTAAATTATCTAAGACACAAATTGTGTATGATAGTACTCACAAAACACTATGGCAGGACCTAGCCAATTCTGCCTCTGTGAGTAGTTCCAGAAATAAAACATAGAACTCCAGCATGAGCGTCAGTAACGTCACAGAGTTTAAAATGTCAGACTTAGTATGCAGGGAAGAAAATGGCAGACCTGCCCTTCCAGCTAGTGAGTGGGAATGGCAGCAGAAGCCCAGGAAACAGGGCTACCAGGTAATGCCTGCTCTTAGAGGCTTAGAATGGCAAGGGTGGCAACACCCAGTCACAGTAATTAGGACAGACTGAGGATGAGGGCTAGGGCAGTGTCTTGGATGAGAATATCGAAAGTCAGCATGGAGACCCTGATGAGGATGAGGAGTAAATGAAATGGAAAGGAAGAAATGAAACAGAGGAAGGAAGATGAAGACATGAAAACCAATTCCTAGTTACTTTTCTTTTAAAAATGGATTTAATTGCTCTCTCTCTCTCTCTCTCTCTCTCTCTCTCTCTCTCTCTTCTAAGTCCACTTACCATTGCTCATATAGTCCTGTGTTAAAGTCTGACCACTTGAGAATGGATAATGCATTAGGGGCTCATTTCTGGAGAAAACTGATTGCCCCTCTCTCAGCAGCCACTGGTTGTCTGTAGCCCTTCATTTAGAAGTGTGACCTTGTGAAACTTCCCTCATTATGTCAACTGCTGTTGTCATTTACAAGTTTCATGGGTGCAACTTCCCTGTCACATCTAGAAGACATTTGGAGGCAGGTATCCTGGTCCTGTGATTCTTACCAGCATCCCACCCCCTCTTCTGTGATGTTCCCTGAGACTTAGATATAGGGACTGAATTTTAACTGTACCAGTTGGGTTTCGCCACCCACAGTCACTTACTCTCTGCACTTTGACTGGCTGTGGGCCTTTACAATAGTCGCCATCTGCTGCAAAAAGAAGCTTATTTGATGAAGGAGGAGAGCTACACTTACTTGTGGGTACAAGGATAAGTAGAAAGCAATTAGAAATCATGCTGGGTTATTTTTATTCTTAAAAAATAAACTGCTGGTGTCCATTAGCCACACTAGGGTACATTGACCCTAATCCTCACAACAACTGTGAATTAAGAAACACACACACACTCCACACTATACAGGGATTGATTAAGCCTTCTTCTGGTACTTTAATGAAATACCTAGAGTTGGCTAGACATAAAGAAAAGCAGTTTGGCTTATAGCTTTAGAGGCCGGAAGTACAAACAGCATTAGACTGGGTTTAATAAGAAACTCATTGGTAGCATTCCCTGGGGGTGATAGACTGAAAAACAAAGCTGTAGCAGATACGAGGGCAAGTCCTATGGTGAGGGAGACAGAATGAAGAAAGAAGGCGGTGATAACTTCCCACCAGGTGCTACCTTTAAAAAGGGCCATTGTCTTAGTGTCATACTAGGGACCATGCTCAGGCCCATGAATTTCAGAGGGATGTGATCAAACTATGTACAGACTTAGCAGTTAATGTAGATTTTCAAAGAAGTTAACCAACAGCATAACAGGATAGTTACCAACCTGAGTCCAGTAAATGTCTAATTCAGGCACCCTCTCCACTATTGCTAGGGGTCTTAGCTGGGATCATCCTTGTGAATTCCTGGCACCGGTTTTCCCCCTAACCCTGAAATGCCCCCCCTCATCAAGACGTCTCTTTAGAATAGAAATAGAGACAGCAAATTGGTGCCATCCTATTCTATTGGTGTCGTCACAGAGCCTTTATCCAGTAACTGATGGAAGCAGATGCAGAAATTCACAGCCAAGCACTGGGCTGAGCTCAGGAATCCTCCTGAAGAAAGGAAAGAGGAATTGTATGAGCCAGGGTGGTCAAGGTCATGATGGAGGAACCCACAGAGACAACTGGCCTGAGCTCATGGGAGCACATGGACTCTGGACCAACAGTTAGGGAGCCTGCATGGGACAGACCTAGGCCCTCTGCATGTGTGTGTGTGTGACAGTTGTGTAGAGTGGTCTGTTTGTAAGGCTCTTAGCAGTGAGATCAGGACCTGTCCCTGGCACCTACCTGGATTTGGGGTACTTATTCCCCATGCTGGATTTCCTTGCCTAACCTTTGTGTAGGTGGAGGGACTTGGTCCTACCTCAAATTGATGTGCCATGCTTTATTCAAGCCCATGGGAGGCCTGTCTTTTCTGAATAGAAACAGAAAGGAAGTGGATGAGGAGGGGGATAGATGGGAGTGGGGAGAGGGGGGAACTTCGGTCATATGTAAAATAAATGCAAATGATATTAACTAAATATTTATAAGAAAATGTTTACAATAAAAAGATGATAACAAAATTCATGATCTATTCTCCATCTCTTTTATTGATGGTATCCAAGGTGTTCATCCAACTTCTACATATTTTCTCTCTTAAACACCAGTAAAATTTTCCATGAGCTTAAAACCTTGGGTGAAGTGGAGCCATATTTGAACCACTGGTAGAATACTAACAAGTTTTCAAAGCTCATGCATCGGTTTTCCACTCTGCCAGCGGCTCCTGAGTTCAGCATCTTCACGACTGCACATGCATTATTGTCTTTCTTTTCTTCATAATAGAGACCCTGCTGGGCTAGCAGTGATACTGATATGCAGTCTAGAAATAGCTACCAATGCTGAGTTTTTGCCAGGCCCTACTGACCATTTGGATATCTTCTTTGCAGGAGCTTATATTCATTCTGACCATTCTTGAAATTAATAGCTTGTGTTTTATTCTTGGGTATTGAAATAGCTCTCCATGTGTCTTAGACTCGGGAAAGTTTTTTTTTTTTTCTTTCCTGTCTTCCCTTTGAACTGTTTTCTTGTCTTGGCTGTTTTATTTTGGTCTATGACCCATTTAAACTTAACACTCCTACATGGAAGAAGCAGGTGCCAGCTTCATTCTTTCACATGTGAATATTCTCTTGTAACAGCACCATTTACTGTTGCAGCCTGTCTGTATTAGTCCCACATTGCGGGGCCATATGTCATAGACTGGTGTTTGTGGGGCTGCAATTGGGACTAACCAAATAACCCCTGGTCCATTCCTGAGTGGGGGAGTGTGGATGAGGGAAGGCTATCTATAGGCATTAAAGGAAAGACAGAGACATAGGATCATATCAGGAGGGCAAAATCAGTTAATACTGAATGTGTCCAGTTTATTCATGCATTATCTTAAGTAACCAACCAAAATTGGGGACAATGGCAGAAGACTTCTATTATCATGTATAAGGGGCAAATAGCAATTACTTCCCTTAATCCTAAAGACACTCCATAGTTGCAGGTACTACTTGGCCATCAGGTGCATAGCTGCACATATCACCTAGCCTTCAGGATGAGTATAAACTCACCTGGACCTAGGTCTATTGTTATTTAGATAGGAGCCATTCATCATGGAGGCCATGGCATCCTGCAACCATTAAGCTAATATCTTAAAGACAATAGGAATGACTTGAGCTCTCTGAACTCGTGGCAGAAGGGGATAGATTTCCAATACACAGGCCCCAACAGTTTATGTGAAAGATGATCTAAGAGTCTTAATTCCCTTCTTAAAAGTTACTCTGTCATGAACAGGAACATGGAATCTTAATTGTGGATTCTCTATTCTATTCGATTGTTCTGTGCATCACTGTGTCAAAATTATGCAATGACAGTCTTGGTTACTGTAACTGTAATAACTATGGAAGTCAAGAAATATGAGGGTCTGATTTATTTCCATAGTTCAAGACTACTTAGGCTATTCAAAGTTCCTTGAATTTTCATGAGTGTTTGGTGACAGTGCCAAGCTTTGCAAAGAAGCAACTTAGAATTCAGGTAATGTTTATGTGGCATTCAAGAGGAAATTGAAATTCTCAGTAAGAATTAAGAAGTATTTAAATATGAAATCATGAACATGGAGATATGAATATAAACCACAACCAACTACCACTTTATCCACCAAGTTAAAAAGACAAGATGTCATGTTTTGATGAGGAGAGTTGGAGCAGCTGAACTTCATGTAAAGTGCTAGGGAATGCAAAGGGTGCTGGCATTGGACATCTCGGGAAAGCTGAGAACTCACATAGCATTTACCATAATTCAGCTTCTTTATCTCTGTGAAATGTGACCTGTGCAAACTAGTGATTCAGGAGTAGCATTTGACCCTAAGCTGGAAATGATTCAAACTTCAAAACTGATGTTTTCAAGTTAAATTTTGAGATTATTGAGTTTCACATAGCACTAGAATGAAGACAAATCTCCCAGCATTTTAGGTGAAGTGGAAGCATTTATGATAAGAAAGTGTAGCAGGCACAGGAGTCTGTACTATATGATTCCACCTATAGGAAATCTAAAAGCACACAAAACCAACCTAGAACACCGGAAGTTAGTGTGCTACAGACTGACCAGCCCTCTTCGAAATCCTGAAATGTTCTGAGTGTTGATCTAATGCCATGGTAAACTGTCCAGTGGCTCAACACATACAAACCTTGCTTGAGACATATATTTATTTAATATATTGTATACACATATCTTCAGGCTGTGTGATTAAAGTGTACTTGATACATATGTGAATTTTATGTTTAAACTTGAGCCTCATACTCAAGTTACATCTGCATATGCAAATATTCCAACATACAACAACAAAAACTAGCAAACAAACAAAAAATACAAAGCACTTCCCATTCCATATAGTTTGGGTAATACTCGATCTGTGGCTAACATAGAGGAATATCAGGAAGTCCAAGGGGCTCTCAGGAGGATGGCAAGATTCTATGCCATGATTTGAGTAGCAGTGACATAGTGATGGCTCCATGATGATGCACTGACATGCCTAAAGTGGTGCAATTTTACTATGTAGAGAAATTGAATGTCAGAAAGGCAGCTTCCTGTGCTTTTGTTCAATAAAAACTGAGCTCACAGACTAGAAAGATAGGTGGTTAGTAACAACTGTTGCTCTTGTAGAGGACAGGAGTTCAATTCCCAGCACCTGTGTCTGGAAGCTTATAACCATCTTTATGACTCCTGATCTAGCGACTCTGAGGTCCTCTTCTGGCCTCAGCAGGCGCCTTCACTCATGTATACACACACACACACACACACACACACACACACACACACACACACACACACACACGCTTACTTTAATAACTTTGAGGAAAAAGCTGAGCCCAACTAACAGCACAGCACAGGCACTGTTGGTGCAGCCAGGCTTTGGAAGATTGGAGAAAGAACGTTGTTGGCAGGCAAGGATGTATTCACTTAAGGTGGTACAAAATGGAAAATGCTGACACTTTGGGGGCAAAGTAAATAGTCAAGGGTAAATATATAATGCTTCAGAGACAAATCTGTATATTTAAAACAGAATACTCTCTATATATATCCCAAAATTGTCTTTTCCAAATGGTCTAGATTGCAGCTGAGGGGGAAAAAGAACTAATTCAACTTGAAAATGTGAAGATTGTGGAGAATGAAGGCAGGAGAAGAAAACTATGAAAGACAGAAACTCTCCACATGCAACTTTGAACATGGTGTTTGTTCTATAATGTAAACTTTCTATAGTTCAAGAACTAAAGGTGATCTGTTAGAATTGATAACATTAATCATTTTAATTTTTGTCTAATAAATTATAGAGGTAAATTATCTCAGTCTCACACATTGTAAAATCGCAGAATGAACAGGACTCTGCACTTACAATATTTTAAGATTACAATCCCTGTACGCCTAATTGAAGAACATGATTCACAGTCACCTATATTCTTCCAGTGACAGACACTTAGCACTCATCCTTCCAGTTGTGTCCTAGAAAGGCCTGAGGAGGGACATGACTCCTGGGGTATTTTTCTGCCCTGGAAGTGATTTGTTCCATGCCTCCTGGGTTGTATGAAGACCCAATCCATGAAAATTAGAGAAGTAATCATGTTCTTTCCATCCAAGTATCCTGAAGACAAGGTCCTCCGACCATCAAAAGAGACTGAAACAGAATCAAAACCATCTGAGCCTGCAAGTGCTGAAGGAACCAAGCCAAGCCAGGTCATGCTGGTAAGGAAGGGGGATGCCAGTGCAACTGTCAGGCAGCAGGCAGTTTCTTGCACTTGTAGACAAATCATACAGATGTCAGCACTCTTCTTTGTCTGCCTCAAGTTCCTCTACTAGTACCTCATTGTGGTCCAAGGGCTGTGGGGTCCAGATTACTAAGCAATTACATGTTGACTGTAGTCCTGACAGAAACCTACTATGTGTGAGAGAGACATTCATAATTGAACTCTTATACTGCCATACTTTGGCATATTTTAGAGTAGCAACCTTTGATCCATAGGAGAAGAGTCTGGACTCTACTTAGAAAGTCACAAATGCATCCTCCTACCCCAGAAAGCCATTGCAATTAACACCCTGTCTCTTGAGACAATGCTCATATCCTTTATCCCTATGATTGTATCAAGTTTAGTCTCTTTCATTGTAGAAATTAATTTAGTAATGAAAAAAATTAATGTAAGGACACACAAATCACACCATTAAGTAAAGTATTCACACAGACTTGCTTATATTAAAAATATAACTTTCCCAACCTAAAGAAGGAAATGCCTATGAAGATACAAGAAGTTTACAGGACAACAAGTAGACTGGATCAGCTAAGACTCCTAGCAATAGTCGAGAGGGTGCCTGGACTAGCCTAGCCCTGTAAACAGATTGGTGAATACCCCAACTATCATCATAGACCCCTCATCTAGTAACTGTTGGAACCAGATGCAGAGATCCACAGCCAAAAAACAGGCCCAGCTTCAGGAATCCAGTCAAAGAGAGAGATGAGGGAATACATCAAGATCATGATGAAGAAACCTGCAGAGACAGCTGAACCAAGCTTGTGGAAACTCATGGACTCAGGGCCTACAGCTGTGGAGCCTCCATGGAACTGAACTAGGCCCTCTGCATGAGAGAGATAGTTGTGTAGCTTGGTCTGTCTGAGGGGCCCCTGGCAGTAGGACCAGGATCTATCCCTAGTGCATGAGCTAGCTTGTTGGAGCCCATTTCATATGAAAGGATGTCATGTTCAGCTTTAACACAGGTGGGGAGGGCTTGGCCCTGCTCTAACTTAATGTGCCAGACTTTGTCAGTTCCACATGGGAGCCATTACATGTTGGGAGGAATGGATATGGGGTGGGTTGAGGAGGGTGAAGGGTGAGGAGGGGTGTGAGGGAAAACTTCAGTTGGAATGTAAAATGAAATTAAAAAATAAATTTAATAAAAAACTATTTTATACCATATGCTAACTATTATATATAACATATATATAATATGTAATATACCTTGGGGTATAGCTCTGTGGAAGAATGCTTTCTTATCATTACCAAGGTCCTGGGCTCCATCAAACATTGCCAAAACACATATATGAAACATGCTTAAATTTTTTATTTAAGTTTGCGGCTGTTCACTAGAAGTAATTATAAGTTCTCCTCTAGCTTAAAAGAGTTTCAAATGTTAAACTGGCCTTTAAAATACTTAAAATAAATCCCATGGTTCTTGACGACCAGCCAGTAAATGCCATTGCTTTCTCACAAAAGTGAAAAGAACCATCAAGTCAGAAAAGGGGGCTTGCCGATTTTCCATGCACACATTTAAACCTGAATTAATAACAAATGCTCTTCTAAGGACGTTTCTCGACAGAAAGGACAGTATCAACCTGTCGATGGTCAAGTACAGAATGTCTTCTCTTTTGGAGTTTGCACACATGCCACCTGATATTTTAAATGACCAAAACATAAGTGCTGCTGTTTTAAGACATTCTGTGTGTGGCAAGCTTTGACTTCAGATGTTGGTTGGGCAGGTCTCACGTCCCAGATTATCACTCAACAATGAACCCAGTCAGGCGACTGCTGTACTTGGCACTCTCCCAGCCCACCAAGGCTGCCACCTTCAACTGCTTGTTTCCTGTGAAGTGACTCATGTGCCTCCCAGCCTTTTTTACCCACATAATATTTGATATAAATGTGTTAGTTGGACGGCTCTCAAAATGTAAATTACACTATTCATATACAAAATGTATAATTGCTCATATTCATCAATTTCACTCCCTAATGAAAAGCTGTTTACTTGAAGCCGTGAGGATATAGAAGCTCATTAGTGGGAACCCTAGTGGAGGTATCGAGTGGAGCAGTGTGGCACATGCTGCTGGCAAACTGATTCTTCTTATTGGAAAGTTATTACATTTTAAATTTAGAATATTTTTAATGTAAGTCATGCTGAGTGTATATCCTAACCAGATTATTTTATCTAACCATGTTGTCAAAGGGATGTTATCTCATGTTAATGAGAACATTAGCAATATTCATTCTGGTAAAAAAAAATTAAAAGAAACACATAGGAATATAATTGATTCTTTGCTCTGGACTTCACAATATAACAGAACCAGTTTGCAGAAGTAAAGACCTTCAAATACTTGATCTATTACAAATGTAAATATATATTCCTACCAATGTATGCATCATGTTAAAGGTAAAGGGAATAAGTAAAGATAACTTTTAAATTAAGAATATATTTAATTTTTTAATGACTGATGAAGTATTCTTAATTTTCTATATCAAGAGATAAAATCAATTTTCCTTATGTGATTGTATTTCTTTTTTATTTATTTTTAGGTTGTTTTCCTTTTAACAAAAATACAATTTTTTCTCACATAATATATCCTGATGTGGTTTTGCTCTCTTGACTTCCCCCAGTCTCCTGCCCACACCTCTCCTCCCATCTGAATCCATACCCTTTCGGTCTCTCATTATAAAAAAAAAAAAAAAAAAAAAAAAAAACCCCTTAAAAAAAAAAAAAAAAAAAAAAAAAAAAAAGGCCTCTAATGAATAATAAAAAAATACACAAAAACTAACATATTGGAATAGGGCAAAACAAACAAACAGAAGGAAAAGAGAGGCCAAGAATAGGTACAAGAAACAGATACAGACATAGAGACCCATTTGCTCATGCACTCAGGAACTCGGGAATCCCATAGAAACACTATATTGCAGTCATAATACACCCAAAGGATCTGTAGGGTAAACACCTGAAAAGGAACCTCCAGTGATGCTGTGGAGTTCATTTTCTGTTGGCCATCTCATCTACTGGTAGGCATGCAGCCTTCCCTTAAGAGTGGTTTGTTTCCCCAGGGAGACTCCCTTGGAGAAAGCTAAATCTTCATTTGTTAGTGGTTATCAACTGAGATAGCTCCTGGGTTAGGGAAGGGGTGTCCCCTTCTTTCACGTCTAGGACGCCATCTGTGCAGACTCATGCAGGCCCTATGCTTGCAACCACAGTCTCTGAGTCCACATGTGTACCAGTCCTATTGATCTAGAGGACCTGTTTTTTTTTTTTTGTTTCCCCCATCCCCCCTGGCTCTTTACTCTTTCTGCCTCCTCTTCCAGGGGTTACCTGAGCCCTGAAGAAAGGAATTTGTTGGAGACATTCCATTTAGGACTGAATGTTCCAAGCTCTCACTCTCTGTGCAATGTGTGGCTGTGGGTCTCTGTCATCCGTTCCCATCTGTTGCAGAAGGAAGCCTCTCTGATGATGGCTGAGCAAGACACTCATCTGTGAGTATAGCAGAATGTTATTACGAGTCATTTTATTGTTACTTTTGGGGGGGTTGTTTGTTTGTTTTTAGACAGTAGTATTTGATTTTACCCCAGTTCCCTGAGCTATCTAATCTAAGGTTCTTGGTCACCCAAGGAATATTGGGTATGGCTACCATCTTGTGGAAGTCCTTAAGTTATATCAGATATTGGTTGATTTTGCTGTATATAGTAGTCTGGGCTGCCATTTGTCGTCTCTTAGAGTCTGTACAATATCTGTCCAAATCCTTTTGGATTTTAAAGTCTCCATTGAGAAATAAGGTGTAATTCTTATAGGTCTGATCATATATGCTGCTTGGTCTTTCTCCCTTACAGCTTCTGAGAATTTTTTGTTTGTTCTGTACATTTAGTGTTTTAGTTACTATGTGATAAGGGGGATTTCTTTCCTGGTCTAGTCTATTTAGTGTTCTGTAAGTTTCTGGTACCTTGATAGGCATGTCCTTCTTTAGGTTGGGAAGTTTTCTTTTATGGATTTTGTTGAAAATATTTTCTGGGCATTTGACCTAGGATTCTTCTTCTCCTTCCTATTATTCTTAGGTTTTGTCTTTTCAGAGTGCCCCAGATTTCCTGGATGCTTTGTGCCCGAATGTTTTTTTTTTTAATATTTAGCATTTTCTTTGACTGGGGTATCCATTTCTTTAATCATGTCTTCAATGCCTGAGAGTCTCTCTTTGATCTCTTGTATTCTGTTGGTGAGGCTTGTCTCTGAGGTTACTGTTCAAGTTCCTACATTTTTCATTTCCATGTTTCTCTCACTTTGGGTTTTCTTTGTTGTTTCTATTTAGACTTTCAGGTCTTGAACTCTTTTATTCATTTCCTTCCACTATTTGTGTTTTCATAGATTTCTTTAAGGGTTTATTCATTTCCTCTTTAAGGACCTCCACATATTCATAAAGGCAAATTTAAGGTCTTTGCCTTAGGCTTCAGTTATGGTGCAATTATCAGGACCTCTGTGGTAGGGCTGGGCTCCAGTGGATACATATTACCCTGGCTGTTATTGATTATGTTTTTATGTTGGCATCCAGGCATCTGGGTGTGGGGAGATTTTAATTCTAGGTGCTAATATCTGGTCTAATCTTTTTGGGTGGGTGTTCTGCTCCTGGGATTCTGTTGCTCTCTCTGGTTCTTAAGAGCTTGGCAGGAAATTCTTCTGGCGTTCTTCTAGGTGTAGCCACTGGAGGTTTCTGGTAAAATGTGTTTCTAAGTTTGGGGAGCAGATCTGGGGACTGCAGATGGGCTAAGAGGATTCACAGGAAGAAAGAAAAACAGGGTATTCCACCAGGATCTGCTTAGTCCCAAGGAAGGGACTTTACTGGCCAACTTGTTTCTCAGTCAGACCTGGCCAGTTCCCAGGAAATGTCTGTTGGAGTTTCGGGGATAGGATAACAGGATGAGTGTGAAAGAAGGTTTGAGGAGAAGATCTGTGTGATCCTCTGGAGATGGGGACAGAAGGAAGGGGAAGCCATGGCAGGTGGTCTGCTACAGAGCTGGTGGTGAGACAGGCAGACTGGGTTTAGAGGACAGGAGAGAGAGGAGAAGATCCACAGTTTGACGACTTACTTCCCTGACTATAGTGGCCTGCGGGTTCCTAGTGAATGCCTGCCAGAGTTACGATTGTATCTTTTAAATGAAAAGTCATGTGTAGAATAAAGACTAGTTAAGGTAGCTTTTACTCTAGTACGTCAAGGACAATATGGAACAATGGAGTGCATGAGCTTAGTTTTGTCTGCTGTCTATGCGACATTGTTGAAGGCAAAATGAATCACTTACAAGAGGTGATCTCCTGCCCCTGACATTTTACACTTGGCAGATAAAATGCTCTTAGCAGAAGCAGACTGCATCAGTGGAATCCAAATGATGATGTCATCAGTAATCTTAACTTTTTGTTTTCTTTGTAATATTTTACAGTTGATAGATATCATTTTCCTTATCATTAAGAATTGGCATGTGTCCATTTTGAAACACAGTGTCAGGACTGGCATTCTTACTATTACATTCTTTAAATTAAAAGTAGACATAAGGAAAAGAATAGGAAACCCAGAAGCACACACAAAGACAACCTCACTAGGGTGTCAAGGGCACACCATGGAGAAAAGAAAGCCTGTCCTTGAAAAGGAATGGGGAAAACAGACACAGGGGGAAAATTAGGTCCTTATCTTTCTTCAAGTCAAGATGGATCAAAGATTTAAATCTAAGGCCTGAAACTGCAAAGACTTGTAGCAGAAAACACAAAAGATTCATAGTGTTGGAATGGATAATGATTCCTTGTATATGACACCCAAATCCTAAGCCATAAATCAAAGTTGAACAGAACTACATCAATCTGAGGAGCTTCTACTTAACAAAGGCTATCATCAGCATCAGGGTTGCCAAGGTAACCTGAAGATTGGGGGAAACAGTGGCAAACCACCTATCTGATATGGGATTAAGATCCAAATTATGTAATGTATGTCTTCAGCTTAACATCAAAAACAAAAAACTGATTTTAAAAAAAGGTAACCTACAAATGAACAAATAATTTGAGTAGACATTTCACTAAAGAACACACATACAGAGAGAGAGAAAGACAGAATATATATATATATATATATATATATATATATATATATATATAAAAAAAAAAAACTAAAGAAAATAGTAAAATGAAATAAAGTTTTGTAAAGAATGCAGTAAAATCTCAGCCTTTGCATACCACTGAAAGGATTGTGATCTGATGCACTTGCCATGGAGTTTTTCTTTTAAAGTTGAAGGCATGTTTACCATATAACCCCACAATCTCACTTCTGTATGAATATTCCAAAGAATTAAAAGCAGAATATTGAAGAGAGAACACATACCATGTGCCCTGCAATTCTGTTTACCGTAATCAAGACTATAAACCACCTTAAAGGTCTCCTGATAACTAAACAAAGAAAATGAGGCAGACAAAGACAACAGAATGTTATTAGCCTTAAAATGAGGCAGATCCTACCATCTCTGATAAGATGGAAGAACCTGAAAGACATTGTGCTCAGTAAAATAAGTCAGTTACTAAGTGATCCCAATTATTAGGTTATTGCCGCAAATTCACAGAACCTGGTGTGGAATGCCTGTTGCAAGAGGCTGGGAAAGAGAGAAATAGTGATTTATTCTGAGGTGGAAAAACATCTCAGTGAAACATATGACCAAGTTGTGATTATGCTTAACTGCACTGTGCATTTAAAAATGCTAGGATGCTAGGATGTAAATCCAGTGTTCTTATGCTCACAAATAAATGAATAGGCAGAAAGTCTTGTTGTACTGTCAGTCATCCATGAGAGGCATAACCCACCAAGATGACACTACTCAAACAAGAAATTACAAGATATCTGATATATACCTAAGGTCCTGGGATTCATGAAGTATACAATGAAAGAGACTGACTGGTTACCTATAGATTTATAAATCTGTTTAAACTTTTAAGATTTTATCATTACCTGAGTCTAGAAATAGGATAAGAGTGTGAACTCTAGAGTCAAAACTCCAGCATGTAAAGGTTCTAAGATCTTAAACAAATTGCTTACCACACCCTATATAAAGACAAGGAGGCTCCAGTTGCATTCCCTAGGTGGCTTGGGATCATGAAGGACCATCATCCATGTGATGCGTTTACTCTTTTTCTGCAAGATATTAAACACACATTTATGGCTGCACACTGCTCCTTCCTGGTACCCCATGTTTATGCATCTAAGATGATATAAGTAACAACATGCAATCTGACTATCATAGTTAGTGCGGTGGTTTGAAAGAAAATGGCCCCCAAAGGCAGTTTGGCACTATTAGGAGGTGTGGCCATGTTGGAGGAAGTGTGTCACTAAAGGTCTTTTTTTCCTCAATCTCTCTCAGTGTGATAATCAACTGACTTTCTGTTGCCTGCAAGATGTAGCACTCTCAGCTCCAGAACCACATCTAACTACACGCTGCCATTCTCCCCTTCATGATGATAATGGACTGAACCTCTGAAACTGTGACCTGCCACCCTCAATTAAACGTTTCCATCTATAAGAGTTGCTGTGGTCATGGTGTCTCTTCACAGCAATAGTAAACCCCAAAGGGCATGGCTTGAGCAATGATGACATCAAAACCCACATCCACAAGGACACACTTCTCCAGAAAGACCACACCTTCTCCCACAAGGCCACACTTTCTAATAGTGCCACTTCCTTTGGGGGCATTTTCTCTTAAAACACCACCCTGACTCTGTCTATGCCAGAGTGAAAACAAGCTACTTAGGATACCTCCACCTTTGTCCAGACAATGTAGTGAAGTAGGAAGTCTCTACTGAAGGACTGGGTGTCATGACCCGGCTTGTCTCAGCTTTAACCCGTGATAGCCATGAGGTTCGGCCTGCGTGGGGGTGTGTGGACCTGGAAGCTCCCAGCAACCCAACGGCAATAAAGATCAAACACAGGCATCTTGTCATCTTCAGAGAGCTCCCAGTTCCATGTTGTAGAACTAGAGTCATTTCTTTATTAGCCATCTTTTCTGGTGTTTCTTAACCGTCCTGCCAATACCATGAGGGAATCATCCTCTTTGTCCCTCCCTGCTCTGTTTGCTTGCCCCTTAACTCCTAACCTTCTGTCCTCACAAGTTACTCACACCTCTGGAACCTCCGCCCAGGTGAGGGCCTATTCAGATGCTTAGGCACATACAGATGCAAATAAGAAGCATATTACCCCGAGGCCATGGTAAACAGTAGTAGCCTTACTGGTATTAACAATACAATAGTGGGCCAGAGCTTCCCTGTGCCACCACTGTTTACAGCAGCTAGAGACTGGGACCCAAAATATTCCATAACAGAGATATTCGGTCCCCCACATCCGGGTACATTAATTCAGAAGGGCAGGAGGGGACACTTGAAGCACAACAGGTGTCCCTGTGTAGCCTCCTTAGAGAAATATCCAGGCCAGTCATGAAGCACACTGTGCCTTTGTCAAAAGACA